CTAATTTTCTCATTACATTCTTATTACTGCTGAAGTATATATTGAGGAGCGTACTAAAATATTTCACTTACATTCGTATTGAATTGCATCAAATGCGCATATTTAGCCATAGATTTTCCAGATAACTGTAAAAGAATGCCTGGAATCGCAGAGTAATTTCACAGATCGTGGACGCTCGAATGTAGCAATGATGCTGTATGGCTTTGGAGACGGAGGTGGTGGTCCCGAAGAAAATATGCTAAAAAGAGCTGTTCGACTGGAAGACTGTGATGGGGTACCGAGAGTTCGGCATGCAACACCGGAAGCTTTTTTCGCTGAGGTGCGTCTACTAGTTAAAATCTCTCCCAAAGAGCTTTCCTCACATCCAAATATTCGCTTTCTAATTTACGCTGCTAATTTTCCAGTTGGAGAAAGACGTGGATAATTTGTGTAGCTGGCATGGAGAACTGTATCTGGAGCTACACAACGCAACTTACACCACCCAAGCGAAAATAAAGAAAATGAACAGACTTTTGGAGAGCATTTTCAAGGACTGCGAATTTTTGCAAGTGAGAAAGATTAATTCTTTTCGTTTTGTAAGTTTAGTGAAGCATATCCCACTGTTGGGGCAAATATCGATGCCGATGCAGTTCAACTGCCAACGTTAGATCCCCCCGACGTCTATAAGTACCTAGTCGTGGAACAAAGAATGCTGGCGACGAATGAAGCGATAGGCCGATTTAACGCTTGGACGGAAAAATTCGCGTTGTCCCAGCGGAAAGGAAATGCCGCTTCCGGAAAAGTGCTGCGAACCGACTCTGCATCCCAAGGGGAACTAATTGCCTGAGCCATCTTTTCATCTTAGCGCCCCTTTGTTCCATCGGTGCTGCCACGAAATGTTGAAATTCTGACATTTATTCTTGCTACTTCCCTTTTTCGTTCTTTTGACCGAAATTGTTAAATTCACTGCATTCGTCGTGGACATTTTGGAGCATAGATGTATTCAGTTTAGAGTGTATCGTTTGCTTTGTTCTATTCGTGTTTGCTTGAAAAAACCGCTCTCACTTCGCATTTTTAGTCGATGTCGCTTCTTGAGTTCAATGAAGGCAAATCTCTAAGGAATCAGTGGCATCGTTTCCTGCTCAATCAATTCCATGACATTTTACCGGGAAGTGGCTTAAAAGAAGTGGTAGCGGATGCAATGAAAATTTACAGTGCCTTGCTGAATGAACTTACTGCTGATGGCGACAAGAATTTGAAGTGGGAAGGTTTGTTATGCGTTGG